CTTTTTTTAAACAAAACAGTTCTTCATAAACAATAGTTGTAGAGAGTCTTAGTGTTGGTTTAGGATGTGGCAAGAAGTGAAATGATTAGATAAGACACACTGTGAAGACACCTCAGGCACGACTAGAAGATAGGAAAATAGGGAGAGGAGAAGGCTGGGACTGATCCAGAATAGCCCTGGTGGCACGATGTGAAGCGCTCAACTGCTCACCGAAAGGTCACCAGTGTGAACCCACTGTGTCTGCTTCTGTAAAGATCTGCAGTGTTAGAAACCCTATGGAGCAGGTCTGCTGTGTCCTTTAGGGTCACTGTGAGTTGGTGACAACAGGTCTTTTGGATCTAGAGGACCTTGGAGCCCTGAGGTATCTCTACAGTGCCCGCACCATGGGTGGATCTGCATGGAGCCCAGGGCAGAGGCAGTCCGTACAGAGAGAGGAACAGCTTGGATTGATGCTTTGGAGATTTGACATCGCAAAATAGAACCTGTTCTTTGTACGTCAAAGTTCCTGGAGCAGCAGTCCACATGTGCAGAACAGGGAAGAGGGTTTTGAGCACATTTTAGGAATGAAAGGACTTTACAGAGGAACGAGGAAAGAAGTGATAGATAGCTTACTATTTGTCCTGCGAGTTTAATTTGACTTGGCCACGAGCCAGTTCCAGTCAGATAGGGTGGTGACCCATTTTCAGACAGTTCCCCTGTGATGTGGGTGTTGTGATCTGATGCTGGATGGGCTTCACGATGCCTGTGTCTGGGTGAGAGTTGAACTGAAGGGCACGGAGAATGACTGTTCTGGAGCTGCTGAGAATGAGGAGGAGATTGAGGGACCCAGACAGGTCAGGCTCTCCCTGGAGCCAGGCCATCTGACAGACACATTGTGAGGAGGGGTGGCTCTGGTGAACTTGCTGGGTTTGCTTTGTTTTCGTTTTGGCTCAGTGAGGTATGCTAGTTTGGAGTCAGAGCCAAATTGCTTCAGGTGCTGGGCTCTCACCCCACCCGAGCCTTATTTTCTCACTAGAACATTCACACAGTTCTGTCATGTCACTGTACCTGTACCTGAGACCTGTCTGTAGATTCCATGCTAAGAACTAGTGCCATTGTGTGTTGGTGCTGTGTGCCATCACATTGAATCCAACACCTGTTAACCTTCTAGGACAGAGCAGAACTTCCCCAAAGGGGTTTCTAGCCTGCAGTCTTCATGGGAGCAGAACGCCAGGTGCTTTCTCCCAGGGAACCTCTGGGTGGGATGGTATTCCTGACTTTTGGTTAGCAAGTAAGCACTTGACCATTGAGCCACTAGGCTCCTTAGTGCCTTTAGGAAACCTTTCTTATTCCAGACTTAATTGTATTTATAATGGCAACTCTGGATTGTACCTCTTCACTATAGACTAAGATTGGGCTTTATTATATTATTGTAAATATGAATGAATATATAAATATTTATAGAAGATAAGTATAGACAATATATTTCATAATATATTAGAATGTGCTCATTCCTATAACAAATCTGAGTGCTATCTATGTGTCAAGCACTATTCTAGAACACAAAGTCGGTTTGAACCGCAAGGTCAGCAGTTTCAACTCAGCAGCTACTCCTTGGAAACCCAATAGAGGGTCGCTATGGGTTGGAAATGACTCCACAGCACTTAACAACAACAATGTAGAGATCGTGCAAAGGTAAAATGTCATTGTACAGTAAATGGTATACATAGATTTGTTGATGCTGTTAGGTTTTGTTCACTTGGTTCTGACTCACAGTAATCCTATGTATAAAAGAACGAAACTCTGCCTGGTTGAGCCCATTGTTGCAGCCACTGTATCAGTCCATCTTGTTGAGGGTCTTCTTTTTCACAGACCTTCTACTTTTTACAAGCATGAAGGCCTTCTCCAGCTACTGGTCCCTTCTGATAACAGGTTCAAAGTATGTTAGATGAAGTCTTACAATCCTTACAAATTTTCAGGAGTATACTGGCTATACTTCTTCCAAGACAAGTTTGTTCTTTCTTCTAATGTTGCTGTTGTTAGTGCTATCAAGTCGGTTCCAACCCATAGCGACCCTGTATAGGGTTTCCGAGGACCAGCTGGTGGATTTGAACTGCCGACCTTGTGGTTGGCAGTCCAGTGCCGATCCTACAGCACCACACTATGACTCCTTTCTTCCAATAGTTCATGGATATTCAGTATTCTTTACGAAACACCGTAATTCAAAGTTATCAATTCTTTTTCAGGCTTCCTTACTCATTGTTTAGTTTTCCCATACATGTGATCTACTTGAAAATACCACGGACTGGGTCAGGTGCACCTTAATCTTAAGAGTTACATTTTTGCTTTTGAATACTTTAAGGAGGTCTTTTGCAGCAGATTTGCCCAATATACTATGTTGTTTGATATCTTCACAGCTGCTTCCATGGGCTTTGATTGTGCATCCAAGAAAAATGATATCCTTGACAACTTAAATCTTTACTCTGTGGATCATGATGTTGTTTATTGGCACAGTGGTGAGGACTCTTGTTTTCTTTATGTTCAGGTGCAATCCAAATGCTGTAGCTTTTGATCTTCATCAGTAAGTGCTTCAAGTCTTCTTCCCTTTCATAAAGCAAGGGGATCGCTTCTGGATATCATAGGCTGCTAATGAGTCTTCCTCCAATCCTGATGCCACATCCTTCTCTCTGTAGTCCCACTTCTTGGATTATTTGCTCAGCATGCAGACTGAACACGTATGAATAGCTCAACACATTTTCAGAGCTAACAGGTTTATGCTATCTTTAGAAGGAAATTGAGACCTGGAGAGATTAAGTGACTGGCGGAAGTCTCAGAGGTGCTGAATTGGTAGAAGTGGAGGATAGGAGAGAACAGCAGAGACCTCAGACAGCCCAGGGCTTTCTGGGCCGCGACTGAGGCCGGAATCCTGTCTTCTGACTCCTGTGCCTGGGTTCTTCAGAAATTCTTAGCTACCGGAGTTAGCAAAATCTGAAGCTCCGTTTCCATTATTGCTTCCCTAATGATTGATTCATTGTTGTTAAATACTGTCGAGTCGGTTCCGACTCATAATGACCCTGTATAGGGTTTCCAGGGAGTAGCTGGTGGATTTGAACCGCCAGCCTTGTGGTTCACAGTCCAGTGCTGATCCTACAGTGTTATATCAGGAGCCCTAGACTTTTGTTTATTTGACAGATACTTCTTGAGCACCTCGTGTGTAGACAGGATTGTACTTGCATAAAGTCATAAATATGAGCTCTGTTTTCACGGGTTGCTCCTGGTCTGGGTAGTTCTTTACCTTGGTTTCCATTTGGGCTATGTCTATACATGAATTATTATCATTTCCATTTTCCATTATTGTAATGGATAATGACAGTTTTGATATTTTATCAACATATCCTAAAATGTAAGACTAAGATCTTTTTTTTGTTTGTTCTCTGTGAAATTATTATTTTCTTTTCTAACCAGTGTGGCGCTATAGGATAAGCACTGGACCACAAGGTCAGCAGTTCAGACTCACCTGCCGCTCCTCAGAAACCCTATACAGGGTCTCTAAGAGTCGGAAGCGACTTAACCGCACTTAACAGCAACACCATTATATATAAGGAATCCTGGTGTGATGCGGCAGGATAATGCACTAGACCGCAGGGTCGATTTGACAGCAGGGTCGGCTCCTTGGAAACCCAATACAGGATCACTATGGGTTGAAACCAACTCGAGGACACGTAACAAGAAGTAATTTATAGAGCTCATTTGAGCTGATGTAAATATTCTTGTCCGTCATCAAACTCACCTACATCATTCCTTATATATTTGTTTGCATTCTAAGATACAAGAGTTTTCACTTTCCCCCCATATGTATAACAGTAAGGATTCATGGATTCTTGTTTTATTCAGTGGTTTATGGTTTATTAATTACTTCGATGCTCGAATTATACCTGATTTGTCTAGTGGCAGTCCTTTTGAGATGTAGCGTCTTCGTCTTTTGTATTTATCTTTGTAATTCTTCAGGCTCTTCCTTTATGTTGTGGATCACGAAGATGTTCCAGGCCCATCTTGAACTTCCTATGCCCCAACTTTGGAATTACTGTTTCTTCTAGGGGCCCTGGTTCTTTTCAGGGAACAATGACATTAAAAAGAAATAACAGTCTAGGTGCTGGACTGCTCTCTAATGCTGATGTGTCACGTTCTAGCCCCTGGGCCAATAACTGGACAAAGCTAGAGAAGGCATCTGTGTATGTATAAGCACATAGCTAAAATTGTCTATCATCTATTCAAGTAGTCCCTGACTGACTTTGTATAGAATGTTCTATTTACCACCAACTCTAATTACTCTTCTGTGACTACTTCTTTTCCTTTTTTTTGAATACATCTGGTGTGGCGCTGTGGGCTAATGCATCAGACTGCAAAGTCGTTTGAACTGTAGGGTTGGTGGTTCAAGCTCACCAGCTGCTCCTTGGTAACCTTATACTGGGTCGCTATGGGTTGGAATAGACTCAACGGCACTTCACACCAACAGCAGTCATTAGTGATACATGTTTGTATGTGAGTCCTGGTGTGCTGCTGTAGGATTAGCAGGGTAGGTTTGAACCACAAGGTTGGCGGTTCAAACTCATCAGCTACTCCTTGGAAACTCTATACAGGGTCGCTATGAGTCGGGAACCAAGTCGACAGCACTTAACAACAGCAATAATGTATTCAGATGTATCTGTAAGTTTATAAATAATGTTTCTAGTCCTCAGAGACAAGATTGAATGTACAAAGATAATGATAACAAAAGGCAATAATAATGAAAAATAAAAATGAAGTGTTTTATTTATGTCAACAGTGATATACTTTGAAGTTGTTGGGATGGAACCCCATTGTAAATCGAGGGCTACCTGTATATTTAACATGTAGGCTCCCCCCCTAAAAAAACACCACAAATAAACAAACAAAAACAGCACCACCCTGCAGGTAGGAGTGTAGAGATAAACAGTGCAATATTGCACCTGCCTCACGTCTCTTCTCTTACTTTTTAACAGGTGGCTTAACCCCTTATTTAAGATTGGTCATAAACGGAGATTAGAAGAAGATGATATGTATTCGGTGCTTCCTGAAGATCGCTCACAGTATGTTGGAGAAGAGTTGCAAGGGTAAGCAAGAGGTGGTGAAGAGAGGAGTAAGAAACTGAGCATTTCTCTGTGCATAGCTCATGGTTTGGGATGGCCTTTGCCTTCCTGGTTTTTCTACCTTTAGGGCCCTTCTGGAAGCTACTTCCTCTAGAATTCCACATTCTCTTCCCCTTGGGTTGTCTAAAGGCTTAGCTTATCTAGTTGACCTGGGGAAAATCTGATTTGTTTAGGGAGGCCCTAGTGCTGAGATTTTGACCCAAGGCAGTTGCCTGCTTCCTTGTCTGCCTTCTTGGGATACCCTGGTGCTCTAAGTCCTGCAAAACTTAGCAGTGACTATTTTCCCCAGAGTGGAGACCACCTCTCCTGGCCTGTTTTTCTGGTGCTGTGGATTCCACATGCTGTGTCTTTCAGGCATCTCCCCGCCCCAGACAGCTAGTCTGCAATTATGCATCCAGCGTGAAGGGCTTTAGCTCCCACTCCCCTCCCTCCTGGTTTTATCCCCGGCAAGGCATGCTGTTATTTACTGTGCTTTCTTTCCCTTGTAGGTACTGGGATAAAGAAGTTCAAAGAGCCAAGAAAAATGCACAGAAGCCTTCTTTAACAAAAGCCATCATAAAGTGTTACTGGAAATCTTATTTAGTTTTGGGAATATTTACATTAATTGAGGTAAAAGCTTTTACATAAGTGATTTTTTTTTTTATTTAAAAAAGTTAAACTTGCAGTAATACATGGGGACTCTCCACAAGAGGATGCTCTGTGGAGGTTGAAAATGTTTTAAGGTTCTAGTTTTGGTGTGGTGCTGTAGGATAAGCACTGGACAGCTAACTGTAAGGTCAGTGGTTCAAACCCACTAGCTGCTCTTCAGAAATCCTATGCAGAGTTCCTGTGAGTCTGAACTGACTCGACAGCACTTAACAACAACAAAAGTTGTTCAGGAAACATGGTTGAATTCAGCTAATACTGCTTTAGGAAAGAAATAATACTTTTCTTCTTGATGTTGGTAAGTGCCGTTGAGTTGGTTCCGACTCGTAGGGACCCTGTATAGAGTTTCCAAAGAGCGGCTGGTGGACTTGAACTGCTGACCTTGTGTTCCAGTGCATTATCCTGCAGTGCCACACCTTAGGAAGCATAAATACTTAATCTAATGACTGAAGTTCAAGGGGGATTATTACTTTTTAATGAATTTAAAATTGATGTGCAAAGATTGCACTGAAAATTAAAGAACTTTATACCATGTTAGGGCATTGTTGGTGCTCAGTAAATGTGTTCAATGCCAAGAGCAGTCCTTGATCAAAAGATCTTTAACATCAAAGAATGAATATGTGCCCTGTGATTTGAAGGAAGTCAGTTTGGACCAGAGCCTAGAAAAATACAGGACATTTTACAGGTGCTCAGTAAGTATTTGTAAAGGTAACCACAACAGAGCTGATAAATGCTTTTCCAAGAAGGTATTGGCACCTCTCACCTCCCAGGGATGTAGAACCAGGGACACTGCCAGGGCTGGTTGTGGTGTCTCGGATGGCTGGGGCTCCCAAGAGCACACACAGAGTGGGGGACCAGGTGCGGGGAGCTGCACTCATCTCTCTGAGTGAGTCCTGGCTTCATCTAGACTTTATGTACCATCCTTCTGGTTCATTGTCTTTGGTTGTTGGGCTTGATTGCTGGCGGGAAGGTAGACTTTTTTTTTTTTAATGTTTTATTGTGAATTGTGTGATAGTCTACATGGGAGAACATTAGTTTTACATTCATTCTATCATCTGTCATTTCATTGGCATAGTTACCCGTCCATGCATCATCACCCAACTAAAGGGTGTACCCTGTAAGCCTGCACCCCCCCACCACAGTCCTCAGCCCCTTTCCCTCTCCGGATCCCAAGTTCCCAGCCACACCATCTCTTGACGTCGTCTTCTCTGCCTCCATCTCAGGCCTCACCGCTTCTCTGGGTAGGATCCCGCTCTCCTCTTTTTTCCATTGATGGTCCTCCGCTCCTAGACTGAAAAGTTAATCACACCCCTCCTTGCTACAAAATGTCCACCTTTAGATTTCCAACCCTCACAATCAGTCCTGATAATAATTATTCACAGTTGCATCACAAGAGACTCATCTGTATCTCGTTTCATCAGCCCTTCCTGGACAGGCTGGATACTATTCACTGGAGACTCTAGGAAGGTAGACTCTTGATAGCTTGGCACAGCAGAGAGCACAGACGTGGATGTGCAGTGAGACATTGAAGGCAGAAAGCATGGGGTCAGTGACGTCTATTACTGTGGCAAGGTGGCGTCATTGGGACTTGTGTATGTAAGATTTCCTAGCCAAACGTGGCTGCCCGGCTTCCTAGAACAGAGCTCATCAGGCACCTCCGTATGCGCCTGCAGCTTATACCAGGTCTTTGGTTAGGTGAGGCAGGAATGAGTGTATCATCTCTGGAGCAGACCGCCCTTTGCTACCCATGGCTTTTTAGTTGCCAATGTTACCAGGGCACTAGGAAATTAAAAACAGCTGATCTCAAAAGGCGGTCCATCTGGTGAGTTTGAATTTAGCCTTTGTGGTATCATCACTGTAATGATGTTCAAATGTTGGTTAGGTCCCATCTCAAATTGAGCTGTGGGTCACAGAGGTTGAAGCCACAGGAATTTGGGTTCCCCTTGAGAGCTGATGAGCCCCACTGTCATGTGCCATCGTTGATTCCAACCTAGTCCCACCTCAGCAGAGCTGATAGCTGGATGTCCAGGAAGGCCAGGTCTAGGGTGGAGCTCAATAAGGCTTCTTTTTTTTAAGGTTTTTATTGTGGATTGAGTGAAAGGTTTCAGGGCACATCATTGGTTTCACATTCAAACATTCATATACCTTGTTTCATTACATTGATTATAATCCCCTCCACATACCATCAGTTAACAGAGTTTCTCTCTATCCTCT